CCAAGGTTTTCACATGCATAGCATGAAAATTAGATGATAAGTTCTAACTCCTTGCAGTCTTTGAACTTATTACACAGTAGCGATCGAGGGAAATTTCCGTTCACTCCAGACTATAAAGCAGTCTTGGCTGTATAAGTTAATAAAAAACTTACTGCTCTGAAGATCACTCCTCTTGTTTGCTTCAGCAACATCGCTCGAATACAAGATGGGATGGGCGACAAGTTGGGCCTTCTCATCCGGGGATTCTCCATGTTCTTCTCGTCGATCATCGTCTGCTTCCGCATCAGTTGGCAGATTACATTGATCTCTGTTACCATGGGACCGATAGCTGCTATGACAATGGCTTTACTAGGAAAAGTTTGTTTTCAATGTTTCATCGGTTTTATTACTCATCGGTTTCATCGGTTTTACACGGACCTTAAAAAAACAGCTGTTCCGCATAGGATCCCAAGTTCAATCCTGGTTCCCGACGTATTCAATCTGTTTTGTCGAGGTGGGTTAGTGTAAGAATCGTGTACAGTCTGCGACCAGGTATGGTCCTTTCACCTTTCAGTGAAAGGAAGCTGCAAAGCGAAAAAGCATGAAAATCGTCACTTGTACGGTCGTAGAGTTCTTATCGGGGAATCAGCTGTGCGGATGAGGGTGTAGTGTTGGAGATGGAGTTAATGGGCACGTACAAACTGGGATCGGAATGGGGTTCTATCTAGGGCAGTTGACATGTCTTTTTCTGCTTTTTTCATCACTATTCATCATACCCCTAATCCACTGTGACGGCGAATGATAGCGAGCATTGTCTTCAATGGGTGAAATTGCGGTTTTCATCGTAACTTGTTACTGTAACTCATTATGCGGATCAATTAACTCATGAATAGAAAATCCCCCTCCCCCTGAATCGCGAGTCGGAATTTCAAGACTCGTTGAATGATATTTCGTAACAATTTTCCAATGTTGACTGAAAAATTCCACCTTGAAAGCAATGAACTATGTTAACACCTGCACATATGTACCTGTTGACTCCTTTTGCTTTATGATAATTGAAATTTGAGGTGAACTCGGCTAGCCTGGGCAGAGCGATGAACTTACAGACCGAGGCTGCTTCCATAGCTGAAGAGTCGGTGATGAATGTGAAAACCGTGCAGTCTTGTAACGGACAGGAGCATATGGTAAAGGTGAGTCGCACTATGTTCGTATTAGGAACCTCATCGTCATCTCAATCCCATACTTCACGGCCAGCAATGCGTGATGATCACTACGTTCTTACTTCATTCCTATTAGGGAGCGACTCCGGCAGAGCATTTGACATTTAAAGGCAGAAACTTGGAATCAGACTTCTGAAGGCAAACTTCGAGATGAACCAACGAAATGTTCCTAAGTAGCGAGGTTAGAAGCGGAAGTGTATGTGCTTATTGACTTGCTTCAAAGGAAAAATGGAAGGGGATCGTCAAAAACAAACCCCCCCCCCCAAGTAAAGCCCTATTTGTGCCAAGCGAGAAACAAAGAATCGATGAGGATACGGGGCGATAGGCCAGGGTGAGCAGCGAGAGAGTATGCAAACGAACAAGACAGAAGTTGAAGGCACGGCCCGCGACTAGGTGTAGAAGTAAAAAACATGGCATTGGAAGGTAGTGTGGCCAGCAAGGAACAACCTTGTACCGGTTTCGCGGCAAAAATTGTAAGGGAGGGGCGCTATAGCGCAATATAGGTTCAGTGACGCCTCCTTTTTTCCAGTGACTCCGCCTCCAGACTCCGCCAAGGCCCGCCTTCCAGTGAAAAACGAAGCTGCAGGACGAAAAAGCATGAAAATCGTCACTTGTACGGTCGTAGAGTTCTTATCGGGGAATCAGCTGTGCGGATGAAGGCGTAATGTTGGAAGTGGAGTTCAATGGGCACATACAAACTGAGATCGGTATGGGGTTCTATTTGGGGCAATGAGCATGTTTTTCTGCTTTTTTCTTCACTACCGGTTAGTTACTCAGCATATAGTCGTCTAGATACAATTTTCCAATCCATTGTGATGGCGAATGATCGCGGGATTTATCTTAAAGGCATCTATCACGGCGGGCATAGTCACTTGACCAACCTTGTGCCATATCGCTGCTACCTTACCACTTTCTGACGTGTAACTCACACATAATGGCTCGATGCAGTCCACACTACCTCTCCGTACGATGAGATTGGACAGTTATAAACGATCTCGAGCTCTGCCTTTCAGAGGAATATCGGTTTTCTATTTGTGCAAAAGGGAGCGGCCAGCGAGCCTCAAGCCACATGCATGGAACTCCGATTGAGGTTCTATACTCTGTGTCACATCGGATGTGTCACTAACAAGTAACTTCTAGGCTTCCACACCGTAATTTCGCCTCTATGGGGGTTGCATACCAGTGAGGAGTTACGTTCTTATTTCAGAAATACCAGGCGTCACTCCGCAGTGCCCAACCGCATTCTATTTGCAGTCACTTCTGGATGGGATTTTTCGAAGGACTTTCATTCTTTCAAATCTACGTGATTATTGGAGTTGCTCTTTGGTAACCCTTTCTTAATTTGAAATAAGTAACTTTCTGCCAAATCTGTTCACGTTGCGCTCGCTTCAGGTTTGGTTGTTATGGTTTTTTCCACGGTATGGTGGATGATCGTGGCGATGTGCTTCTCTGTGTGGGCACGATTTCGCTGACCGCCTACTACCTAGGAATGCTCGGGCCTCACATGATGGCCCTGATGAAAGCACGTATGGCGGCTGCTATTATTTACAAAACTATTGATAGGGTACGAAATTACTTGATAGCTCTCAGCAAAAGGCTCTGGTTGTCCCTTATAACAACTGTTTTAAGGTGCCTTCTGCCGACTGCGGAAGGAAAGGTCTCAGGAAGGAAGTTTTGGCAGGACGTATTGCTCTCAAAGATGGGTGTGACTTTTCGTATCGAACCCGAAACCATGGTGGTTTTGCAATGTATGTTATTCCACAAACTGCATCAAGGATGGAGTATGGTGATCTCCCCAACAGATAGAAAAGTGTTTTTCGCGCTTAAGTTTCTGTAAAGACATTTTCCGATGATAAATCCCCAAGAAGTGCACGATTAACACGTCATGTGGGGCAGAAGCGCTGCGTGGCGCCTTCTACTGGAAAGGTACCCTTATAGAGTCCTGTTAAGTACGTGGCGACTTGGAGCCCACCGCGCCCTCCCACCCACGAAACTGTCGCGTTATCTTTGTTGATTGCTCTCGTATTAGCTTCGTTTGGCGAGCGTATATAATAAAGCGAATGTATCGATGATGAAGCGGGCCTGGCGGTCACGGATTATGATTACTGACAATGCTGGTGTCCTAATGCTGGGTTGTTGGCAGCGGCCATACGGGTCACTCGTCGGAGTGGCTTTCTGATTGAGTGTAGAGCGAGGCTTTTCTTGCAAATTTTCGAACCCCCCCCGCTGCCTCTCCGTCCTCTCGCTCCCCTCTCTTCGCTCCAATTCCCGTAGCGCCGCGAGTCAATCTGCCGACTCCCCTCGCCCTCAATTCTTAAACCGCTTACCAACCCTCTCACCCCCCCGTACCCCTTCCGCGCCCTCTTTGGCTGTATCAGCCTGCGCACAATCCACCCCACGCCTCAGGTCGCGCACGATCCGCTCCGGACGGCAGACTCCACCTGACTGCACCAAGCGATGCTTGGATTCCTTGTATCACTACTCCATCAGCACTCTCCACCACACTTAATAGCCCCAGTCCTCTCCCTCTTCCCACTCGGGAATTTTGTTAGAGACTGCTTCTTCCACGCAACACACACACTCCGCCACACAACACGACATCCCCACACACATCGGCTCTCACGCACGCAGCCCCCTCGCAGTCGGCGCGACCCTCGCCAGCAGTAACACGACCGCGCAAATGCTCACCACTACTATTCATCCCCCCGCCGCCCCCACTCCGCCATACTCCTCCACCTCGCGAACCCCGCTCTCCCTGTCTCCAATCACCCGCCCCCTCCTCCTCACACCCCCCCCGCCCCGCACTCCTCTCGCACAGGCACCCACACTACCCACATCGTTTGAGCTGCATCAACATCCACACACCCAATCCGCAGAGGGCGGGGCTCAACGCATCCCCCCTACAACGTGCCGTACATGGCACTGTTGAATGTGGACAGACACCACGCAGGGCCCTGATAACCAACACCCGGATACACACCGATGCACAAAACTCAAGCACTCACCCAGACGATCCAGCGACAAGAAAAAAAACATAAATAGAAACCCAGGCTTTATCTGCAACTATTCTCATAGCACACAAAGAACTCAGAAAAATATATTGCCTTGAATACTTTTACTCCTTCCCTCCACAAAAAAACTTCAAGAGAGCCTATGAAATCACTCAGACAATTGAATCCATGAGCAAATTTCCTCACAACAAATCACACTTCATCAAACACACCCATCCAACACAACTCAACAAAATCAAAACATTCAGAATCAATCCACCATCAAAGAATACAGAAAAAGAGCAATATCACCGCAAAGCCAGAGCTGGGAAACTCGGAAAGCTATGGAGTTCTTTTTAATTTTGCTGTTCGGCGGTTAGCGCGCTCATACAAGCCCCTATGTGCGAGCAACAAGCTAATCTTTAGCGACGAACTGCAGCAACTTCAGCAACACACAAAAACACGTGAAACAAGTACCCCTCACTTTGAGCACCCCATCCAAGGTTCGTTGAACAGTGAAGCCCTCATCGAGAGGGGTAGGCTCGCGGCCGCCACAATGAGTCAGAGCCATACGTTCTGAGCTCTTTTGCTCCCAGAAACCCTGACACCATTCGAAAGCGCTCGATATTTCAAATAACCGTATACCAAGATTCAAGAATTTTCCCCCCCCGTTGTGCATCATCGTTGTGATCTCCTTCGCTGTTGATCATTTTTTTGCTGGAATCGCGGACGTCGCCACGTTGACGTCACATACCATCAGGCAAGCTTCAATACAAGGCCATTCGTCACGAGCATAAACCAGCGAATTGTGCCGCCCGAATCTTGAAGAATTTCTACACTTTCCAGCAACGGATTTAATTTCTTCATCGCTATTACGACAAAATTCCCCCTGCTGCTCTTTCGTAACCATCCCTCCCGCCACCGGCAACACGCCTCACGAACACAATTCAGCCCCCTCGAGGCCATCAAGAAACTCCACCAGTTCGCCTTGAGACTTCTGCCGTATACATCTACTCAAAACAAAACATGATTCGCAAGGGGATAACTCCCAGGAATACGCCATCTCGCGGCGCCCACCATCACTGCAATGCGCACAGGCATCCGGGTCTTTTCCACCGCCACGCACCTGTCCTGAACGCACCACTCGTCACACCCTCTCTAAGATAGCCGCATATCACCCACATCTGGCAACAATATGATGCTCTAGCAGCACTCCATCAAAATATCCACGGGAATCCCGCAACTTATCGTACACCACCTAGATACATTATTATCCACCATTGTCAGCCTCGTAAATCTTTCCACTCTATGTTTATAACACACTAATCATGGTGCCTATGCGGCCACGGTGACATCGTAGCTCCTAATCATCGCCCCTTTCCTCGTAGGTATTGTCACTATTGCTACACCGAAGCGGCGCAGAGTGCTGGACCGTGCGGGACGTACGTAGGCTAGTGCACCGACCTCCCCGCTCCGACAGCAATCAGAATTTGTAAAAAAAACCAGAAATTTTTTGGGAAAAATAGACAAAGTGGTAGGAGGTTGGAAAAATCTAGAGGAAGAGGTAACATGGGGAGCGGGGGTCGTAGTTGAAGGACTGAGAATTCAGGGGGGGTCGTACTTTTTCGGACGAAACGGTGATCACAACGCAAGTGGCGGTTGCCCTTACCTCCTTCCCGCAACCTTTAGGCAAGGCGATAGTGCCACGAGCGCTGTTGCCCAACTGTCTTAACGGCAGAAGGCTTCTTTCTCTCAGATAATCGGCAGAATGTCCTTTGAGAGCCCACTTTCGAGTGGAAATTTCTCACCTTAACACGTTCGCGGCGGCGTATATGCACTCCCGGGAGTACATGAAAAAACTCCGTTTTCGGCGAATTGTGTACTCCGAGTACACGCGCCTATTCGCTGGTTTTTTGCTTTTTCCTTTTTTGTATTCTATTCGTGCTTTTCCAATCGGTTAACACCTTGCATATAACATTACCACCTAATCACCAGCAATAGCAAATAATATCCCGACATTCATAAAGCACGCTCCGCTGCTATCTCTCAAAAAGACCTCCGGAAACTTCCCTTTTGGCCCGAATCCCCGCCCCTCCCCGCATCTCTCCCTGGGACGTACACGCGCCTCTTCTCTCGCGCCTTTTTGAACTGTTTTTTTTTTTCTTCTTTCTCAACTTGCCAATTATGAACCAAATCATAAAACTAAATACTATACCAAGCTAACACTAAGAACATCTTCTCTACTTGTAAGTTTTTGAAACTGGTGAGGCAGTAGTGCCCTTACAAGGAGACACTCAAGCATTCACAAGAATCAAAGTCTATATTCCCTTTATGCGGTACTACTGAACATCAAAAGGACAGGAAAGCTAGTTCATTCACCGAAACTCAGATAAAACTTTTGAAAGGGGGAAATGTAAAAAGAATGGCGAAAAACGGCCTTCGTTAATTTTTAGGCTTTCATGGTTCCGTCGCGAGCGCGCTCGACAAACGGACGAATGACCTGGCCTAAGTGTTCCCGTCCGCGATACGCGTCACTTCGACAAACGGGATTTTTGATCGAAGCGTGTTAATGTCGAAAAGCAGAACTCTGTTCATGTGTTACATCAATTCCTGTACCGCTTGTGTTTCATTTTAGTGCTTTACCTCTTGAAAGCTGGCTCTAAGCTTGTCGAATTCTGCAGTTGTATGAATAATATTGATGGGCAGAATAATATTTAGGGCCTTTCATTGGAAGTTGAAAGCGGAGAAACTATCGCACTTGTTGGTTCGAGCGGCTCTGGCAAAAGCACTTTGGTCTGACAAGTTTCTTCCAACCTCCTCGATTTCATTGAAGGAATGATTTTCCATTCAGGTTAATCTGCTTTGTCGACTATACGAAGTTACTGATGGTAAAATCACTATCGACGGAGTGCCTCTCTGTGACTACGACGCAAGCGCACTTGAGAAAGGCTTGATCTCTTTATATCCGTTTTCGCACTCTTAAATCACGAGCTTCTGAAGCCAATTCACGACTTTTCAAAACAGATCCGGACTTTGCTACCCATGATTCACGAGACATTGCTGCAAGCCCCGCCCCATGGCCACGCCCTCTTTGCAGCTTTTTGCAGAATTTTTATATTTTTTGAAAAATTCTTGCATTTTTGGACTGCTGCGTGGATTAGGGACCTCAACTGATTGTTCGGGTGACCAGCAGCATCCTAGCATACAAGCTGGGACTCGATACTGCCGATTTCCATCGTTTTTCGGAAGCGGGCGGGGCTTCCTCGAAGTGCTCGGAGCTTCTTACAGTGAGTGTGGCTTCACGTAGCAGTTCAAAAATGCAAGGCTTTTGAAACAAATTTCGCAAAAAGCCGCGAAGTTAGCGTGGTAAGGGGAGTCAACGTTCGCAACACATCCTTCAAGGAATGGGCGGAGTGGCCCATGTGCCAATGTACTGCAATTTTCAGCTAGATGTACGCTCGTGAAACACGGCAAGACTGTGCAAAAAACGTCTCGAAAGCAAATGTTTGAAGTAAAATCTTGACAAAATCAAGATCACGCTGAAAGTTGTGGGCGTGACATACGCTGGCGGGGCTTGTCATGGTGTCTAACAAGGCATTAGTAACTGAGTCTCGGATCGCTTCGAAAAGTCGTAAATTTGGTTTGAAAAGTGAATTTATGAAAATGATATAAATTCATATCGAATAAATGGTCTTCTAGAAAGTGAAATGCGGAACTCATTGGCAGGCCATCGAATTGTTTTTGTGGTCCGCAGGAACTTATCTTTTATTCAATGGTACAGTGAAGGAGAACATATCGTTGGGTCGAGAAGGAGTTGATGACGAGAAAGTCAAAGAAGCTGCCGATATGGCAAATGTTACTGAGTTTGTGAAAAATCTGGACGAGGTATTATTCAGCAAAGATTCTGCTCACTAACGTATTAAGAGATTTTCTTCCAGTCCTCTCCATAAATCTGCTCAAACGTCAAAAATTAGTTGTTTGATAAGCAATTAGTCTTCGTCCATTGCTTACGCCAGGGTTTCGACACCTACTTGGGTGCCGGTGGCGTGACTCTGTCCGGTGGTCAGAAGCAGCGAATCGCGATTGCTAGAGCCATTGCTACTGATCCACGAATTCTTCTCTTGGACGAAGCAACCAGTGCTCTTGATGCAAACAGTGAAAAAATTGTACAGGTGAGTAGACATGGTGCGGGTGATGCTGCTTCCGCAAATCCTGGCCCTTGCCATGTGTGATGTAGGTCTGACAGCTGGATGCTTTAATGCTATACCGTAGCGAAGCACGCAACACGTGACATGCCACCACACCAGCTATATGCCTAGCCAAGTCAAAAGTGTTACTCCTCCATTCTGCGCCCTCTTCCCTTTAAATGTTCTCTACACTGAGCCGCTATAGGCAGTTTGCCGTTCATGTTGTTCGCTGCGGCAGCTCCGCATCGACGTTCAGAGTGCATATTTTGGACGTTGAGCGGAGAGCAGAAACAGCATCTACTTTTCACCACACTCCAGCCTCACTTCCGTGCCTTTTTGGTATGATGACTGTGCCCTGTACGTCGAACTCCTATGCCCTCCTTATTAGGCAGTCGTCATGTCTCATAAGTACGTGTCCATGCATTGCATCGCTGCTCTCGTGCCTTCAGCCGCATCGGAGCTGTCTCTGTGACTGCCCTGACGTCCTCATTTCTGACGCTGCCTAGTCGTGTCAACAGGCTGATCTCAGTATTCGCATTTCAGCTGCTAGCTGCCTTTCAGCAGCAACTTGCCCTCCGTGGCTTTTGCACATGGGCTAGCTTTCGCCGCCGTGAAACATCGCAGGCCTAACTACTGCATTGATTCAATCCTATACCGCCCGATCCACGCTGACAACAGCTGTTACGTCGCTCCTCAGATACTGATAGTCTTCCACCCTTCCGATGCTTTCGCCGTGGCGGTCACCTTCTCTTATTTTGTCGAAATTACTCGGTCTTCTCCTCCCAGCTGTCCAATTTAATTTCGGCTAAGGCAATCCATTCCACAGATGGGAAAGATGTGACTTCGTACTCCAACCGAACGTGACGGCTTACACGCTGGTGGTGGTATAAAGCCCTTCCGGAACAACGGCAATCATGTCTTTGTCAGACGGGATTAAAGACGGGATTATAGTTGGGTCAAATAGATAAATTCCACGGAAAACGCATCTTTTGAAATGTTAGAATGGAGTGTACAGAACACCCTCAACATGTCCCGTACATGGAATGTAAGTGTTCATTCTTAGCGATTCGTGCAGTGTACCGGATTGCACGTCCGAATCGGTATCTAAGGTGAGCTTGCAGCCTAACATGTAAACATTTGACCCTGACCCTGATTAATGCCTTTCGTAGAATGCAGTTCCTCATTCCCTCCTGCACCCCTCTCTCCCGCAGCAGTTGAGTGATTACCATCACCGTTTACAATATATCATTGCAACCTGCCGGGTCGCAGTCAGCGGTTCCCACCTGCGGCGCTTCCACAGTGGTTGATTTCTTCCTAAATCGATCTCTACCTGATCGCCATTGGTAGAGCAAGGCAGCCGTACGCGGGAACCGCGCCGCTCACTCCGCCCTCGACGAACGGCAATATTACAAACTATACCTGCGAGTAATCCAGAAATTATAGATGACTCTGAAAGAAGCAGCGAAAGGACGAACTACTATAATTATTGCTCACCGTTTGAGCACGATTCGGGAGGTGAAAAGAATATATGTCATGGAGAAGGGAAAAGTCGTTGAGACAGGTGAGTTGCTGTGCGCTGCTCGTTACTCAGTTGTTTTTCTGATCTCCTTCATTCCGCACTTGCAATATTAACTCGTTTAGGCTCTCACGACGAGTTGATGGAGAAAGGCGGATTATATACAAGGCTAGCTGCAGCTCAGCAGTTCCAAGATAGGCAGTCAGATCAGTTGGAAAGGGCACCACCTAGGAAGCAGTCTTTGTGAGTTGAATAAGGACTGCACACCAGGATCAAGCATACGTCGCGGAATCCGCGACGAGGGGGCGTATTCGGCCCTCCTCAGAAGGGGTGGGATCGTATTTGCAGAGATCAGTACTGAACACAGCAGCGACGCAGCCTGCAAGATGGGTGATGCGATCGGAAAGCGGAAAGAAAGTCGAGTACATGACGCGTTTCACGGAGAAGTTTACCAGCTCCTCTGTGCATCAATTCCTATGTGCGATATGAGGAGGAGCTGAAGCTGACCTTTCTGCATGGAAATGTGGGGCTTTGCAAGGGGGAGATACTCATGCTGGAACTGAAGCTGACTTTCGAATGGAAATCCGCGACGGGCGAAGTTTTGCCACAACAAAGCTACAACAAAGATATTGAGCGCCTAGCAGGAGAACACCATTTAATTCCCAAAGTCGTGTGGAGCTCCGTTCCACGTCACGTCGTAACGAATCTGTGGTCTCACAAAAGTTAATTGCGCTTGCGAAAAATTCTCTGAATACTTTTTTTTGATTTTCCGCGACGGGCAATTTTCGCTATAATCAAGCTACAGCAGACTAGACGTGCTCGTTCAAAAGAGAAAATCTTCTAGTTTCCAATGCCGTGTAGAACTCCGCTCTACACTTTGTCGTAACGAAGCTATTCTTATTGGAAGGTGAACAACATTTGGTCGCACAATATCCGCGTTATTTCTCTCCAGAAGCCGTCATGCAAGCTTGACGAAACTTATATTTATATACGAAACTTGTATTTCGTACAGAGCCTACCCATACAACTTGAATCTTCCTTACAACTCAGCGAAAGGTGGTTTCTAAAAGTTATACCCTTTTCAAAATGCTATGCAACGAGCCAATGGCTCCAATCCCAATACGCGACGCAGCTGCACTAGCTCAATGCGTTGCCTTCGTGTTGTTTCGTTTGGAGGGCGTCATTGTAAGGTTTCCCCAAAATTCCACTTCCTGCATTACACTACTTCTTGGAAATAAATCCCTTCAAATTTCAATACTTTTGTTCGATTGATCGTCATTCGCATAACACACAACATGGCTGCACTCTGAAGAACCCAGCAAATACTTCCACACACTCTGCAGTTACTGAGGGGAGGGGGTCGTGCGGACAGTCCTTTTTAAGAGGAGGTGTCGTACCTCTTCTTCTTAGCGTTCTTGTCCAACTGTTGTCGGGTACGCTTGTCCAACTGTTGTCGGGTACGCTTCTTTGACCAACGCTTTCCAACGGTCCCTGTAAATAGAATCGGCTGCGGACAGGCCAGCAGCAGTCATGTCCATATTCAGGTTGTCTTTCCACCGCATTCTGGACGTTTACCGGCGAAGACGATCTTATCAGCGGACTTCGATACAGCATCAGGAGGTCTTCGTTGAACGTGACCATACCAGCGGAGACGAGCTGCGGCAAGGGAGTTGGCAATCGGCTGGACCTTCATCCTGTCTCGGACTGTTTCGTTGCGGATTCGGTCGAGTCGCGTGTGTCCCAGACTCCATCATCGTAACATTCTCATCTCCATAACACCGTAAGCTCTTGTTTCCTCGGACGTCATCTGTTTAGTCTCAGGCTCCATAGAGACGACTGGCTTAACGACTGAAGTGTAGATCTTTGACTTCAGGCGTATCGGTATTCTCCTGTCACAGAGAACGCCAGTAACAGAACTCTATTTGCTCCATGCAGCGTTGATTCTTGCAGTGGTGTTGGCCTTGGCACCTCCGTCTGCGGCAAGCGTAGATCCCAGATACGGAAACGTCGCTGCTCTGGAGAGGGGTGCTCCATCGACTGCGATTGACAATGTTGTTGCGGTGGTGCATAGATATATTCCGTCTTGCTTATATTAAGCCTGAGTCCATGGCTGGCCAGCTCTCTCTTCCAGCGGTTGACGCGCCATTCTAATTTCCCTTGGGTCTGTCCATCAGCAGTACATCGTCAGCATATCCCAGCGTCAAAGGCGGCTCTTTCCTGATGTTCCTCGTAGCGTAGTCCATACATAGAATGAACAACAGTGGCGAAAGAGCCGATCCCTGGTGAACACCGACAGCCACCCGGAATTGTCGAGTGTCTCCGACAGGTGTCCGAATAGAGGTTGTAGAGTTCAAGTAGGTCAGATGGGCTGCTTTAATGAGTGCTTCTGGAACTTGCTGTTAAGAGCTTCCCAAATGATTTGACGCGGCACTCTGTCGAAGGCTTTCTCCAGATCCAGAAAGGCCAAATGAATGGCTTGTTCCATTCTCTAGCCTTCAGACGGCGAACAAGTGGATGGCGTCTGTGGTCCGTGTTCAGGTCGAAATCCGCGTTGCATCCAACTGATGTTAACTATTTCCCTCAGCCTGGCGTCTAGTACCTGTTCAAAAACTTTCAAAGTGTGGCACATTAGGCGAATCGGTCGGTAGTTGCTGCAGTTAGCGATATCTCCCTCCTTTTTATATACTGACACGGTGACACTCTATGACCAAACCGTCGGGATTACTCCATCTTCCAGGCATTTGTTGAAAAGCTGCGTAGATAGGAGCGACCTCCGAAGTGCTTCCATACTTCAACGGGAATGTCATCTGGACCAGTAGCCTTCCTGTTCTTCATCTTCTTGATGGCACCTTCAACTTCATCCTCGGTGATACGTGGGATGGGCCCTTGGGTCGGTGGTTCATTTGGAAGCGCCGGATGCGGATACTCGACGTTGCAGATTTCCTGGAAGTAATCTTGCCAGCGCTTCCTGATTTTCTCAAAGTCATACAGGAGCACTCCATTGCCAGATTTAATGAACGTCGTGGTGCTCGTGAAATCTTGCGTTGCTCTGGAGCGAGCTCTGGCAAGGCGGTAGATCTGCTTCTCTCCTTCTTTGGTATCCAGATCGGCGATAAGAGCTTCTGCCTTGCTCTTAATGGCACTAGCAATTGTCCGTTTGGTTTCTCGCTTGGCTTCGCGGTACCTCATTCTGGTCTCTTCCGTAGGGTTGAGGTACCAAGCTTTGTACGCGTCTTTCTTTGCCGTGACCGCGGCAGAGACGCGGCAGAGACGACGTCTTCGGACGTGGCCTGATGGATCTTCATCGATAAGTGGTCCTTGACAGTTGGTCTCAGCGTAGCAATCCTGTTCCACCTCAAAAGCCTTCTGATGATTCTCGGCTGCTTGAAGGCAGATGAGTTGGCCGGCATCTTAATGGTCGCAATGACTGGACGATGTTGACTGTTGACCGTTACCGATGGGATCCTTGCAGTCTAGCACGTTGCTTCGTTGGCTCCTCCGTGTCAAAATGTAGTCGATCTGAGGTCTTACGTCCCCCACTATAGCACGTGACCAGGTGGGATTCTCTCTTCTGGAAGAAGGAATTGATTATGATCAGATCAAGTGACTTGGCGAACTCCAATATGCGTATGCCATCATCATTCCTTGTGCCGTAGGCGAATCGTCCTTGAGTGTCTTCGAACTGGTAGTTGCTTGCGCCATGTGTCCATTGAAATCACCCATGATGTACAGGTCTTCATCAAATGGAAGCGCGGATGCTACGTCGGCAAGCTGCTCCCAGAACTTATCCTTGTCGGCAGTGGGCAAATTTCCTTGCGGAGCGTAGATGCACATAATATGGGTGGCCCTTTTGCCGAAAATCACAGTAATTCTCATGATGCGGTCGGAAACCCGTTGTACATCTTGAACTGCATGCTCTAGCCTCTGTGACACTGCAATGGCGACACCGTTGACTTTGGATCGCTCTCCGTTATAGTACAAGTTGAATCCTCCGATCCTTCTCGTCTTAGCGCCGACCCATTTCGTTTCTTGAAGCGCGCAGATGTCGATGTTCCTTTCCGTCAGCATGTCCGTCAGTTCGGCAGAACGGCCGGTCAGGGTGCCGATGTTAAGTGTGGCGATCCTGATGGTCTCGCGCTTGTCCTTTACGGAGGACTTCCTAGCTTGTGTGTCCATTACGGTGGACGTCCTAGTTTGGCCCATTACGGTGGGCAACCTAGCTCTGATCGGGATACTTGAAAAATCCACTGATCATTATTGTGCAGTGATTGTGATCATTATTGAATGAACCTCCTGAGCGAAGTTCTGCAATGCTTCTATCCTCCCCTTCCGCGTTCGCTGGCCGAAGCCCACCACCCCCACGCTAGTTGGGGCCGCGGATAGGATTTATGGGGGAGGGGGCGAGGGGGAAAGGGGAAGGGGTCGCACATTTATAATTATAAAATGCACCCTACTGCCAATGGCCAGTAGCCTCTCGTGGACGCGCTTAAAATAAGCATTTTTGAGAATGCAGAGGCATCAAGGAATTCCATCGGCACTGTTATACGTAATCTTTCTACTCTACTGCATGGCACCCACGATGTCTCTGCGAGTGTGCAGCAGGGTCAAGCATCACGTCGCGGAAAATTGGGAGGTTGGGAGGGGTCGTAGCAACCCAGAGACATCGCGGGTGCCATCCAGTAGAGTAGAAAGATTACGTGTAACAGTGCCAATAGGAATTCCTTGATGCTTCTGCATTCTTGAAAATGCTTATTTCAAGCGCTTCCACGGGAGGCTACCGGCCATTGACAGTAAGGTGCGTTGAGACACTGTTCCAGAGTTCCAGTGTCCCATTATTACATATGGACACCCGAACACCCTTTGAACAATAACAGTCTTCGGCGCATTTCGTTTTATGGGAGGTGGGGAGGATAAATCTCATCACAGTCTTGTTTGCTGCAGGTGCTAGGGCGTGTCAGGGGAGCGGGGGGGGTATTTGGCGTTGCGCCAGCCCGTTCTTCACTAATCCTTGCAGCTGGCGTGCGACAACAATCGGTGAAAAACGTGCTGCGTCGCGCCAAAGTCATCCCTAATGACCTGCCCCA